GCCCCTGCCCACACATTGATTAAGGCTCCGCGAGACCCTGAAGCAGAAAACCCAGCTAGGCCATGTCCTGGTGCCGGACTCACAGAACTGTGATAACCAACGTGTGTTGTTTTAGACTAAATTCACGGCGATATTGTTCTGGAGAAATGGGTAACTCTATGACGCGAGCAGTATTGTATCAGTATCTTGTCCGACTTGTTCAGTAGCACACCTTGGAAAACTATTGATTCTGTTACAGGACGCTCTAGCTCATTCTTTTTAACTGCCGTTCGTACTTTATGGTGCTATTAAAGATCTTTTTCGCCATTACAAATAATGCTGCCGACCATGAAACCCAGACATGTAGTTGCATCCGTAGTTTGAATATCACCATCGATTGCCCTGCAAAGCGCCTGTGCTGAGTTGTGCTCGAAGCAGGGCCCAGGGGCATCCATTTCTCCGTAACCCCTGGTTGCCTGTCACTGTCATCTTTCCTCCCAGCCTGAAGCTCCTTGAGGGCAGGGAACACAACCTTCACATTTTTGTGCCCCAGAGCTCAGCCGGTATATGGGACAAACCCACCGAGATGTGAGCATCCTTTTTTCTCTGCCTGTCCCGCTTTCTTAACAGCTGGGCTGCTGCATCCACAGCCCACCAGTGACAGCCTCCTGGCCCCAGTGGATTGGACCACAGTGGGACCCTGGGAGTTGAACATTGCAGCTTACATGGGACACTGTTGGTGCCAAGGTGACGAGCCAGAACTGCTTGGGGAAAGCGGACGTTAAGTCTTGTAAAGGCTGGGGCTCTGCAGAGGAGCACAGAGATGGGGGAGAGACAGGGAAAGGGGGGAGGAGTGACGAGCACAGCTCCCATGAGTCCCGCTCCCCTTCTGTCTGCAGCATGCCCCCCTTTCTTTGGGGAGGATCGAGGTTTCTGCTCCTTGTAATCGAAGGCTGCCTGAGACAAAGAGCTGCTCATGGCTTGTTGAAGGAAGTGGGCTTGTTCTCTGGGGTTCTCGGAGTGCTGAGCTGGGGTCTCCCAGGGACCCATGAGAAAGGCCAGGCGCAGGGTGGGATCTTCCATTTTCTAGCCCCTGGACCTCACGCATGGGCTTAGCCCCTCAGAGCCCTCTCTCTGCTCACCTGGACATCTTCGTACCCGTTTCCCACCTGCAATTCCTGTCGCACTGGGGAACTCCGCCGTCAGCAGGTGGAGCCAAGCTCCTGCCTTACGCCTGGCTCGATGGAGCACAGTGAGCTTATTCATGGAGAGTGCCCCACCGAGTGAATCTGGTGTTTTAGGTCCATCCGGCAGTGCCAGTGTGGGTTTTGGAGCCAGAGAGACTGGATTTAAAGGCTGGCTCAGCCCTTACCTATGCGTGGCCTTGGGCAAATCACCTAACTTCCCCGCCCTCAGTTTCCTCACCTGGGAATGGGCATGACAGCCATTCCCACCACGGGGCAGGTGGAGTGCTGTTCTGTGCTGAACCCCTCCCTGCCCCTTTGAGGACTGAGCACCTGCAGCTCTTCCTCTTCCTCTCCTTCCTCAGGGGTCTTGCCTCCCCTGGCTAGTTCTCACCAACAAAGAAATATGCTTCGGGATCTCTGTTTTTAAAAATTCCTTCTTGGTCCCCTGTCCACCTGCGCCCACTGTCCTGTCCCTCCCTCCATCTCCGGAGAAACCTGTCAGAATTGTCGTCTGTGGCCACTGTCCACGTGCTCACCTGCCTTTCGTCCTCAGCACACCCCCCTCCCTGCCCCCGGCCACCGGACTGTGCCGAGGGCGTCCTCACCAGGGCCACCAGAGACACGTCTGCCTAGTCTCTTTCTTACGCAGCCCTCAGCAGCATCCATGGTTGTCCACTTCCTCCTTTCAAAACAGCCTCTTCTCTTGGATTCCAGGGAGCCACACTCCCCTGGGGGAAGAAGACGCACTTCCTCTCCCCTCCTCCGCCCCTCCTCTGAGCACTGTGCGCTCCTGGGCCAGGCTGGTGTCCCCGCTCCCCCACCCTCTCTCCTCGGACCACCCTGCCTGGTCTCCCGACCCAAGCTCCATCTCTACGCTGATGGCTCCTGATTTCTCTCTCCCGCAGGACCGTCCTGAACATAAGACTCATACGCTTGACAGACAGCTCGGCCTCGACACATCCACAGGAGGAAGACTCTCGCCCACCTCCCCCCAGATCCTCCTATACCGCCCCGCCATCGGGAGGCAGTGTTGCCTAGTGGTGTGAGCGCAGGAGCTGGGGATCCCTGGCGGTGAATCTGGGCCCTGCCCCCTACCAGCTGTGCGACACTGGGCGGGTTCACTCACCCCCCAGGCCTGTGTCCCCTCTGTGAGCCGGGGGTGATGATGGGTACGATCTCAGAGGGTCGCAGTGAGGACTAACTGAATTAATGTGTGACATGCTGAGAATAAGGATGTACCATTCCCCTCCCCCACCCCACCGCCATCCCACATCAAGCCAAAAACGAAGGGGTCCGCCCGGCTTCCGCCATGTGCGTGAGGTGTGTGTGTCAAGAGGCCGCGGAAGTCCTGCTGACTCAGCTTCCAGAACAGGTCCCTAAGTTCGCTGGCTTCTCTCCATCTGTGTGACCACTTCGAGGTCCACATAGCACCGTCGCTCCCCGAGACAACTGACCGGTCCCCCAGACGCTGCCCCCGACTCCCCTTCCATGTCACCGCCAGATCGGGCGTTGACTTGAGGGGTTTAAGCTGCCACTCCACCTCCGTTCCTTTCTCTTTTCCTACTTGGCACTCTGGACGTTTTCAGACATACACAAACGGAGGTGGAGTAGGAGCCATCGACCACACTCATCAGGGAGCAGCCAAACGCCGCCTAGTGGCATCTTCCCCCTTCACAGTCCCCTCCTGCCGAAGGACGATGCTTCAATGCAACAAGATCATTGTTAAGCCCGAAATCAGATGACGTCATTCCTTTGCTGAAAACCGTCCCGGGCCTCCACGTCCTCGCCCTGCCCCGTGCTGGCTCGTGTCCCCTTCTGTTCCCCCCACTCGCTCTGCGTTCACTCTCTCTCCCCAGATCCCCGATGTCACTGGCCTTTCGGGAATGCCCCCGTCTGGCCACGTGTGTTCTTGGTTCATGTTTGGACTTTTTCCTGGCTGCGGCGAGGAGCCATCCGAGGGGTCTAGGCAGGGGAGCACCGTGATCTGGGTTCTATTTGAAATGTATCGTCTGGCTGCTGTGTGGAGGGTGAGTTGCAGGTGGGGGTAGGTGAGCAGGGAGACAGCAGTCTGAGATAATTAAATGAGACGATGGCTCTAAGACACTCAAAGTCTTCTGTGTAGTAAGTTCTCAACAACAAAAAAATAGCTCTTATCAGTCCCTGTGCTGGATAGGCGGTGCCTTTTATTTTTAAGCTAAGTCGTAGGCATGAAAATTGTGGCTGAGCGCGGACGTGGCTGGTTGGTTTTGGGATATGAGCACAGAGACCTGCACGTGTGGTTACTGCATTGTCCCTAAACTGGCTTCTCTCTAGCAGGGAGGCAGTTAGAGGCATACTGAGCACTGTGCTCACTATGGAGAACATTGTCTCACAGTAGACGAGACCCAGCCCCGGTTTAGGAGCACTGAGGGGGTGAGTTCTTCCAGTGTAGGGTAACCAGGAAGGCTTCCCGGGGGAGCTGGGTTGCAGGGATTCTCCGGGGGAAGTGTTGGGGGTGGGTGAAGGGAAGGACCCCATGTCTCCCGCAGGACAGCACCCTGAGCGAGAGGAGGCTGGAGGGAGCCTCAGCCACCAGGGGGCGCCCTTGGACTTCCCTGAAGGGGTCACGGGGAGGGGAGATGCTGGTGGCCTCAAGCGGAAGCCAGCCTGGCAGGTGGGTGACTGACTGTGGCTGCAGCCCCAGAGAGGGGGCGTCCACTCCCCATGCCGCCTGTGCTCCTGCTCCGTGGCCAGCGTTTGGAGACAGACAGACAGACCTGGGCTGAATCCTGCCCTGCCGCTTCCTTGGAGGGTGACCTTGGGCAAGTGATTTGGCCTCTGCATGCCTCAGTTTCCTCACTGTAAGGAAGAGAGCCCTTTGGGGGCCACGCCCGAATCTGACTCACTTCCACCTCGGCCTTCCATGTGGACTCTCGTTCCTCAAAGAGGCCTGTGCTCCTCCCGTGTGTCAATGTTGCTCTGGGCACTGACCGGCCGCTGCCCAGCAGCCAGAGCTGAGAGGCTGAGTCCCATCTGCTGGGCAGCCTTCCCCAAGCTCCCCACGCGGGTCAGGGGCCTGCTCCGCGTGCTCACCTCTCACCTCCTTCCCTGTGCTTCTCACGCCTCACCCACACACTGCGAGCTCCTGGGGACCAAGAGGGAAGCTTCGCCTGTGACTCCCCAGGTGACTGGCGAACAGTGGACATCTGATGCATGCCTGGTGAATGAATGCTGAATGGGACTCTGCTGCAGGCCAGGACTGGCTGCCTGGTTACTGCAGTCTGGTGGCCTGCGAGGCAGGGGGACAGCCTGGGGCTGACCTGCAGGCCCCCTGGATTTGGACAGGCCTGCATGGGGGGGCTCTCCGTGGTCGCCACCTCCCGAGCTTTCCGGGGCCCAGCTCTCATTCTTGTGCTCCACTTGGCCAGGACCCACCAGGAGGGTCCGCCGTGACCTGGAACAGGCAGTGCAGCTTGGCCTGAGGCCTATTAGCAGGGAAATGCGTGCAGGTCTGTATTTTTTTTGGGGGTCCCTGACTGCAGGGCTGGCATGGCCCCGGGCAGGCAGCAGCAGGGGCTGGACAGGGGAGTGACTCACTCACAGGAACACATAGGCTGATCCATTGGACTTGAGGATTAAACTCAGGTTCCCAGTGAGGGGAGCAGTGACGCCTCTACGTTTAGGAAGAGCCCCGAGTGCCCAGGACACCCTGGGGGGCTGATGCTGGGCTGACCCTCGGGGTGTCAGTGATCGACCGCGCCCAGCCTTCACAAACACCAACCCTACCACGTGTTTTGAAAAGGCTCCCGTGACGACGGTGGCGAGGACAAGGCCCGCACAAATGGGGAGACGGTCTGAATGGAAAGCAGTCGTTGCTTTAATTCTGGCCACGATTGGACCCCCCCGGGGCCCGCCCACCCCACCCTGTGGCCGAATCACTGCCTGCTCAGTCACGATCGTTTACAAAAATAAATATGAAAAAGCAGCAACTCTTCAGCGACTGCGGAATTACCCTGACAGTAACTGGACGTGTTTAAGCATCCGGCACGTCCGCTAAATTGCACCAAAGAATTTGGAAGCACTTGGTTTGGTCTCTGGGGAAACGGGAGGAGGGCAGGCCGGGCGGGAGCGGCCCGCCCGCCGCCCCTCACATCTCTGAGTCCGCGTACATCCCGTTGATTAGGTAGTCCACCTGCGTGTAACCCTTCTTCCTGTAGCTCTCGTAGGCTTGCAGGGCAAACAGAACCAGCACTGTGAAGAAAAGGGTCACCCCGAGCAAGAGCACCGCCAGCAGGGAGCTTCTGTTCACCGACAGCGTCAGGGGCCTGGTGGTGACCACCAGGTACTGGCCTTGGGTGCTGAGCTGGCATGAGTCCGTGGCTGGCACCTTTGAGTCCCCCGAGTTTCCGGCAGTTGGCTCGGTGGGAGCGGTACCACTTGTGGCTTCGGGCTGGCCCTGCTCCGGTGTCTGGGGTGTGCCTGGCCCAGTGGGCCCCCAGGAAGATGAAGCAGGGCTTGGCTGGGTCGTGGGGGACGTGGCCCCCACCAGAAGGGTCGAGCTGGCATGAGGCACTGTGGTGGCAGCTGGCCCTTTGGCTTGTGACTTGGTGGCAGTCACCGCTGTTGTGGACACAGAAGCCACAGAGGGAGGTGTGTTCATGGAGGGGGCTATGGGCTCGTCTGTCACAGGCCCGACTGAGGCCGCCTGGAGGGCAGGGCCTTGTGTGGGCGTGTTAAGTGTTCGGAGGTTCCTGGGGGTCGTGGGGCTGGCCGTGGGGTGGCTGGGTGTGTGCTCGGAAGGGCTCTGTGTGCCCATGGGGCTGCTTGCGTTTGCCGTGGTGGCAGCAGCTGGCGGAGGCGTGGCTCCTGGGTGCGAGCTGGGCGTGCTGAGAGCAGCCGTGGCGGATGGAGCCGGCTGTGCCGTCGGGGCCCATGGTGTGGGCACCCCGGAGGCCGTGAGGTCAGGCGCACCCGCCGTGGCTGCCGAAGTGCCCACATCTGTCCTGGGAGCTGTCCTTGCTGTGACTGTAGTGGGGCCGGGGTTGGCCACTGAAGTCTCTCTGGCCAGCGTGGCAGGAGAGGGTGCCACCGTGCTCGTTTCTTCAGACGTTTCATTGAAGAGGCTTTTGGTCGTCTCCCCAGCTGCACGTTTCCTGACTGAATTATCCTGCGTCTCGCTGAGGACTAAGTACCCTTAAAGTCAGAAAGGGGAGATAATAAACACAATCACTTTCGTGCCGCGCGGGGGGATTATTCTGAGACGCTGGGCTGGACCCCGGCTTCGCTGTGCCCGTCCTCTCCACCCGGGGACAGTATGGGGGGGATGTGTGCACAGCTTCCCTCTGATCCCGCTGCAGGCACTCGGCCCTTTGATTTTAAAGCCCCTCTGCCCTCTCTAAACCCCAAGCCCACCAAAGGTGTCAGGTTCACTCTCTGATCCAATTCCCGAAACACGAGACGGAGTGAAAGCCTGCCATGACAGGTGTGATTCACCATTTAAAACCCATCGAACACACACCTGGGTTTACAACGCA